CAGGGGAACACGAAACATTTTAAGGATTTTGGATAACGTAAAATATCTCGGTGAACTTTGAAATTATTGTTTAATAGTTATATATGATTTGTACAAATGAAAAAATAAATGAAAATGAATTATTTTACCGTGTTCATTTATACCGTCAAGTCATACTGTTATGGATGTTATGGATGTTATGAACTTGTCGCCCACCGCCGCAGAAACAATTCAACGTCCGTAATAGGTTTTTATATTGTACCTCATTACTTCACATAATACTAAATAATATTCATTAAAAAGAAATTGTACTACACTGGGTGCGTTATTTTATTTTATATAATCACCAAAATAACTATATTGTAACTATATAATCACCTATGATATCATAAAGTACCCAAATGTATTTGAACAATTGGCCACTTTTTTTTTGAGTTTTTGATCAAAAAGGTTCGTCCTGTCGAAGAAAAAAAAAATTTTTTTTTTTCTCCACAATTTTTTTTTTGGTATCTCTGTGTTCTGGCGTAATATTTTTTTTTTTTGTTTTGCTTTTATTTTTCTATCTTGTTTTCTGTCATAGATAGATAGATACACTTGTCATTTTTTTTTTTTAACTTTAATCATTACTGCTGCTAATAGTTATATAAACAAACATAATAGTTAATATTGAACAAAAAAAATGACCCAATACAACCCTCCAGTTTATTCGCAAAACCCTCAACACGCTCAACAATCGTCCCTTTTAAACAACCCAACAGTATATCATTTAGAACAAGTACAACGTCGGAATAATAGTATGAGTAATATGATAATTCTGGCGAACGATGAGCCTTCCGGAACTCCCAATAATTCCTTCAACGGCAGCACGGTAAACCCAACTATCTTGAACGCAGCTCCAAATCAATTTTACACAGTTGGTCCTGGTCATATAAAGCAAGAGACAGGTTCTATGGATGTTACTGAAGTGGACATTGATCCGCAAGCTGTATGCTCACCAATGACGTCTCCTTCACCCGCTAATTCTGTTGGTTCTCCTATAAACCGCAATTTTGACCGTAATAATTTTAGTAATGGGTTCGATGATACCAATAACTTATTTGGTCAGTCCTATAAGCCTTCTCATATGGACAATTTTTCGCCGTATGGCGAGTCACCGAGCAATCTTTCTGTTTTTTCTCAAGGTCCTGCTGAAACTAAATTCTTTGATCAAGGCGACCCAAATCAAAGTGAAGTCTGTAGCATTAGTGCACCCACCGGAGTGAGTGCTTTTGAGTTCAGACCACCCCAAAACAGTTTCGTTACTCAGCCTCAGTCATTACCTGCTGGATATGTGGGTGGTGATTGTTTTCCCCAATATCCACAAAGTTTACAATATTTTTCTGACATAGCATCGGGGACAGGAGCAGTAAGAGTATATCAACAACATTTCATAGATCCTGAAGATTCTACTGATAGTGCTCAAAAACAGTATGCTTTTTTTAAATGGATAGTTTTTGATTTTTCATAAATGCTATTATAAACTTATTAACAACCTTTTGTTTATTTTTGTTTCAGAGCGATTTTAATCGAAAAGAGACGTCGTCGTAGAGAATCACATAATGCTGGTGAGCTAGATTATTTTTATATTTTCATCTTAAGTTTCCCTTTATTTTTTACGTTAATCTTGACTTTTTTATTTTCAGTTGAACGCCGTCGAAGGGACAATATAAATGAAAAGATTCAGGAAATATCAACTCTTATACCAGATATTTTTATTGATTCTTCAAACAAACCAAACAAAGGTGTGATCCTTCGTAAAGCCGTAGAATACATCAAACATCTTCAGCAGCTAGTGGGTGAACAACGTGCTCACAATTTAGTGTTGGAAAATACAGTAAGAGATATGAAATCCGGGACACCTGACAATAATTCAGAAATGAACGCATCACCACAAAGTAGCGGTATTGGTGCTTCTTCTCAAGCTTCTTCTTTGGGTAGTAATAATAATAATATAATTTCATAATCTTCTGGATCTCTATCAGTAAATAATGGTCCTTTCTGTGTGTGAATAAAAGAGATGTGTGTTGTTATTGACAAGATTATGATTTATATTCCTTATTTTTTATTATCTCTCCATTCTATTCACCAATACTCCATTTATGTGTATTTATCTAATTATTATTATTTTTTTTATTGCCGGTATTTTTTATTTGGCTTATTTTTTTTTTTTTTTTTTGTATTAAAAACATGTTAATAATTGATATATGTCGCTAAAGAATCGCTAGGACAATAATTTAAAGTAGTTAAGCTTTGGAGTTAAGAGAACCAAAATTGCTGTGCAGTTGAATGGTTTACTAAATGGTTGGGTATCTCGTGAAAAGGTTTTTCTTAACCCAATTGTGTTTAAGTTGTATAGTTTAATCCTTTAAATGTTCTGATTGCATTTAACACAATTAACAGTGAGGACCTATTCACGACATTTTTGTTTTATTTTATATATAGTTTTTTTTTTTTTTTTTTACCATACTCTACATCCATTGTATATTGAATATGATGACATACAATTTTTTCTTTATATATTTTTAAAGAACACTTCACTTTTTATATGTACTTATGTTTTTTTTTAACTTTCTTTTATTTATTCTTTTTTTCATGTGTGTATAGCATGATATTTGAATATAAATATATATATATATAAGGTTTTTATTTTTTAATACGCTTTTTTTTTATTTTTATTTTTTTTGGAAATCAATGATTTTCTTAAATACTAGATACTACTAGATTTGAATAACATTAACCCTATTTACGCATTTAATAATATTCCTTTTTTTTTTTTTTTTTTTTTTTTTTTTTTGATTTCTTACTCAAAAATTCATAGCGTGTATATCGTGTATATGTATATATGCGTGCGCACTCTAGGTTTCAGATTATTTACATATTAATCTTGAATAAAGGCTTTAGGTCACGATTTCAGACAAACATCATGATTAATTTAATTTTGAAAAAGTTTATATTTTTATGTAAAGTAACGTATGACTATAATATTTTCAATAGATTTAAGAATTTATTGGTCATGATAATGTCAAAGTTTTAAACTAATTTCGTGTCCTTTAGCTAATTCTGAAATATATTATCCAATGATAACCCTGCTGATGCCATAACAAACCCAAGTAATGGCGGGGAAGGCTTTAAAGGTCGACTAAGATATTCGGGATGATATTGTGTACCAACGAAAAATGGGTGACCTGATAAAAATATAAAATGTTAAACATTGAATTCACGCTTTTATGAAGTTTATAAAGCTACCTTTTAATTCCATAATTTCCATTCTCTTGCCGGTCTCATCACGACCTACGAAGTGCATTCCTTTTTCTTCTAAAGCAGATATATATTCTGGATTCACTTCATATCTATGTCTATGACGTTCATCAATGTGTTTTTTACCAACAGCAATGAAATTGGAGGCCTCGTAAAGTTTGCCTTAATAAAATTTATAGTTAATACAAATAATAACATTATTCTGCAAAAAAATATATTATTTACATACGTGTTATTGACCATTTTTCCGTACCGTCTTGGAATATAGTGGATCGCATGCCTAATCTCATAGTTCCTCCAAGATGAATAAGGGACACTTCAGGCATATTGATCACAATCTTATGCGTAACATCTGGTTCGAATTCTTCCGAGTTCGCATCTTTGATATATTAATTAAAATATCACGTGTTCTATCAATAAGGTGTATAAGTGCAAGCGCATCAAGATTATAATAATTTACCTGAAAATCCACAAGCATTACGTGCAAATTCAATCACTGCTATCTGTAATCCAAGACATATACCTAGAATGGATAAAATAAATCATCCCTGTGTGATTGTGTGATCTTGACAAAATGTTTGTAGCCAAGATGTTACCAGTTATTTATTTTAGTACCTAAATACGGAATCTTTTTTTCTCGTGCCCATTTTGCTGCAGTAATTTTACCCTCCGTTCCCCGATTCCCAAATCCTCCAGGAACTAAAATACCATTAGCAGAAGACAAGAGATTCCAAGCTTCGCGATACTTTTCAGGATTTATCTTTTCATACTTATGTTCTAATTCGGATGCTTCTACCCACTAATGTTTAGAAAATGCATCATTAATACGAACAATTACATAAGCAAAATATTTAAACGATCTAGCCTACCTTTAGTATCAGTTTTCGCTCACATTTTAAACCAGAATGTTCTAATGCCTTAATTACGGAAAGATACGAATCTTGAAGATTAGTATATTTGCCTACTAACACGATTGTGACAGATTTATTAAGGCGGTCGTGACTATATATAAATGTTAAATCCCTTTATTAAAAACATATTCAAACTACATTAATGGCATCATAATTTTAATAACAAAACATACTCTTCTGTTAATTTTGTCCATTCTTTTAATATGCATTCGCCCTTGATTCGCTGTTCTGTGGAAATGTGCATGATATTCAGATCAAGCCTTTTACGAAAGAAACTCAATACACCTTGCTCTTTCAACAAAAGAGGTACATGATAGGTTGAAAGAACATCTCTAACTGAGATAACCTAATCAATTATAACTAAATAAGTGATATGTTGATTACAGATGAACTATGCTAATTTTGGTAAGCTTACTTGTTCTTTTCCAACATGACAAAACATAGATATCTTTCCACGTACTTCAGGTTCTAATGGCTTACAGCAACGACATGCAATCTGTAAATTAATATGACGTTTTAATTGATATTTTATTCGAGAAAACATTCTTGAATCATTACGGCCGTTACCAACCAAGTCCGGAGATAAACCCAAAGCCCTCAATTCTCTGATGGTGGTCTGAGTAGGTTTGGTCTTTTGTTCTCCGACTGGTCCGATGATAGGTACCAACGAAACATGTGCCAAAGCAAAATTCTCATGTCCCACTCGAAATTGAAATTGACGCATGGCTTCTATAAATGGTGCGGATTCTATGTCACCAACGGTACCACCAAGCTACAAAAATATCCATTAGACATATAGTTGTTTATGAACATTTATTGAAATGAATTAAACTAATGTATGAAACATTTAATTTACTTCGATGATGCAAACATCGGGTTTTTCACCGCTGTGATCGACTGATATCATAGCTACACGTTCAATCCATTCTTGAATTGCATCAGTAATATGCGGAACCTAGCATATAATGAGCGATATAAGCGACATCAATTTTTATCGTGTGTTTACATCTCCCGAATCATTGTACTTTACCACTTGAACTGTTTTGCCCAAATATTCCCCTTTACGCTATTATATTATAATGGAAACTCGTGACATCAATTCTATCATATCTTCTTAATAATATATTACGATTTTGAATATTATCAAACCTCCTTCTGGATAACTTGTTGATAAATTTTTCCTGTGGTAATATTATTATCTTTGGTAAGAGTTACGTCCAGAAAACGTTCATAGTTGCCTAAATCAAGATCAACTTCTCCACCATCATTTAATACAAAAACCTCCCCTATTAAAGAATATTCGTCTATTAAAATACTTTAAAAGTAATCTCATGATATTGAAAACCTTATAATATTATAACAAACCATGTTCGATAGGACTCATAGTCCCTGCATCGATATTCATATAAGGATCTATTTTTATAGCAGTCACTCTTAACCCAAGGGTTTTTAACAAAACTCCTAAAGAAGAGGCAAATATGCCTTTTCCTATACCAGAAATAACACCACCAGATACTAATATATATTTCATATTATGATAAGGTATTAAGTTTAAGAAACTTTTATTTTCGACTTGCGGCCCAATTTGTCGTCAAGACAATTGGGAAAGAAGATCGTTTTGTGATGTAAAGTTGATTAAATATTTTTTTTTTTTTTTGCCAATGGCACGCGAGCGCGTATCATTTCACATGATATGAAATCATCACATGACGGCTCAGCACAAAGGACAAAGGTATGAGTACAATTTTTTTCGATGATCATCAACAAAACAAACAAATTCAACAGGTTTGCACTTTAATTTAAATATGAACTTTTAGCCGGAATAGACGCTAAATTGATCTCCGTGATTTAGAAAAAAAAAATTATCGTTATAATAATTGTTATAATTATTGTTATTGAAAATTTTGTTATAATATTATATTTACGTAATTAGAATATTTGAATCTAACAAAAATATTTTTTATTTTTCATACTACTATAATTAAAAATGCACTCTCTGGCTCAACATAATAATCCTCAATTACAACATTATTTTCAATTGCAACAAGCTGCAACTTCTGCCTTGGCTACTCCGAACCAACTAAACGTTGGCGGTGCAACAAATTTAAGTTCTCACCTTCAAGCCCCAAATCTACTCGGATTACCCCTTGGGGGTGATCCCTGGGGCACTGGTACAGGTGGTCCAATACCTTTACCGACGCACCATCAAAAGATAGAAGAAGAAAAGATTTATTCCTTAGTTACAGAATTAACAAATCCGGCAAATCGTGAGCAAGCTTTGGTAGAATTGAGCAAAAAACGAGAGCAATATGAGGATTTGGCTTTGATATTATGGCATTCTTTTGGTATGATTAATCGATTCATTTTATTGTTAAATACGTTTGAAATGATTGTTCATGTATCCCATTAATTTTTGTGTTGGTATTCATTAAACAAATAGGTGTAATGGCGGCATTGTTGCAGGAGATCGTTTCCGTATATCCTCTTCTTTCACCCCCTGCGCTTTCAGGTCAAATATCTAATCGTGTTTGCAATGCATTGGCATTATTTCAATGTGTTGCAAGTCACAGCGAAACTCGAGGACTATTCCTAAATGGTTTGTGTTTTACAGTATAACCTTCTGTTTTATTTTTATTTTCTTTTTATTTGCCTTTAATTAACCAAATTTTTATGCAAGTATATTTTTGATTTTAATTCTGTCTACATTTTTCAATACATTTTTCACATAGCCCACATTCCTTTGTTTTTATACCCATTTCTTAATACAACGAGTAAGACAAGACCATTCGAATATCTCAGACTAACAAGTCTGGGTGTTATTGGTGCTCTTGTTAAGGTTTGTATCTGCTAGTGTTTATTTTAAAATATTCAAATTATAAAATATTAATTATGTTTTCTAAATTTGGCCTTATAAAGAACGATAATCCTGAAGTTATTTCATTTTTACTGTCCACTGAGATTATACCACTTTGCCTGCGTATAATGGAAACTGGTAGTGAATTATCAAAAACGGTAATGTAAAAATATGCGCCAAGTGCGTGCGTCACAAATCAATAATATATATATTTATTTAATTAGGTGGCCATATTTATTGTTCAGAAAATTCTGTTGGATGAAATGGGCTTAGCATATATTTGTGCTACTTATGAGCGGTTTTATGCTGTTGGAACTGTTTTGAGTAATATGGTTAATCAACTCGTTGAAACACAAGCTGTACGTTTGTTGAAACATGTTGTCCGCTGTTATCTTCGCCTTTCGGACAATCCAAGGTAACAAAGATTATTATTAAAATTTTATTGATTTTTTATAAAGTTCTATAATCTTAAATGCTATATTAAAAATTCGCAGGGCTCGAGAAGCCCTCCGCCAGTGCTTACCGGAGCCTCTCCGCGATGCCACTTTTTCACAAGTTCTGAAAGATGACATAGTCACCAAGCGATGCTTGGCTGCACTTCTTGTCAATCTGTCAGATAATGTCGTCACTACAAATTAATGGATACTTGTAATAATTGTACTAATTAGCCTTCTACTATTGGGTTGTATATTTCTCATTGTCAATTTTAATATTTTATTATACACAAGACAAAAAATCTTTATATTACAATATGTATTTATATTTGCTTCTAAACTTAGCCTTATTCAAGAAACGCTATTAATCTCCCATTTGCTTTTTGCTTGATTTGTGGTTTATTGTTCTTGGGTATTTTGTCGACATTTCTCGCTTTATTGCATTTGGGTTACATTCATTGCAAGTTGTTATTTTAGATCTTTGCACCTATTTTTCTATAGAGTTATATATGAAAAAAATCACTAATTGGCATCTCTTGCCAAACTTGTAAAAAAATATATCATAGTAAATCTATATATATATATAATATACTAGGTTTCCTTTTTATGGGGGTAGTCGAGCTTTATCTTTGGATTAGAATTTATCTTGTTTTTGTTTAATTCTATTGGACAACAATGTATATCAGTTTATAAAATGGTGGAAAAAACTAATACAGTAAAATAATATATAGCATCATAATTATG